CCCAAGGGCCCAGAGTAAGGGTTGGCCATCTATGGACTGGGATCTYTGAAAGCATGAGTTAAAATAAAATTTTCCCTCTCTTGTTCTTGTTCTCATCAGGTCTTTTGGTCACAATAACAAATACGCTGACTAAAACAGGAAAAAGAAGGCTATTCTATACTCAGAAAGTTGYTCTCTCCTACTAAATTCTCACTGTAAATGTCTGAATGCCCATCTAGTACCTATTATTCCTGCCATTTTTGTCAAATGAAAATGGGGCCTGACATCCTAGGTATTACAGTACTGCAAGAGTGGGAGCATCAGACCCATGCTGGAGGGGAATCCAAGAACATGTGGATCACCAAAGCCCTCATGCCTACACAGTGACCCAACAGATACACACCTACAGATTTGAATATTGGACCAAATGACTTGTCTTCTAATCTTCATGCCTGTACAAGAAAAATCATTCTCTCCACTACCCAAACCCCAAACATACACTTGATCAATCCTGGGATATGTACTTGGGCCTATCAAATATGGAACTTAAAAAGCCAACATGTTCTACCTGTGTAAACCAGAAAGTTATTCTCATCTTCATGACCACACATYTSCAAACAAATYATGATAACCATACWATAACTAATAAGGTAAAATTATGCAAAAAACACACAAAACAAAATAAAATACTAATATTTTCCCTAATAAAAGCATCCAAGATACTTTTATTAAGAATATTCATTTTTCTCCATCTTTGTTATCTTGTTACTTAAATATTGAGATGTAAATTATTTTCAATGTATTTTATATTAAATGACATTTAGATCAGACAGTAGAAGAAAAAATATTCAAATGCATTCAAATGACTCTCAGTTCAGCAGGTCCCTGCCAGGTATGGGCAAGATGCTCAGGAAATCATTCCAGAATATGGGGCTGTGGGAATGAAATCTCCACAATGTGATGCTTGGCTAGGATGAGCCTGGAAGGCTATGGATGCCAGGATAGAGAGGCAAGCTACTTCCTACCTTCAAAGTCTCCTTCCACTCACCAGACTCATGGGCTACTGGTGCTGAAATTGATGTGATGGGTGGGGGACACCATGCTGGTACAGAGAGTCAGTGGAACACATCCAGGACAGGGAGATGAGTTTCTTTGGACTGTTGCTTCATTATCATACCCACAATTACAATTCTCTCCTTGAAGTTTGTGTTGCCTTTTATAAGGTAACTGGGTCATGTTTAATGTTGGTGTTCCTAGGATAGACAGCTAGGATTGCCTCTCTGAATGACAGTATTAGAAGCTATTTTATGAACTTCAGAAGACAATCCAGACCTCTGAGCTGGTCATCTATAGAGATATCAACAGGTATCCAAGAATCCCTAACTAAATCACTGGCTTCAACTCAGTAGGCAACGCTGACCATCAATGAGGTACACTCTTTGAACAAGGTTATTACTGTCAGGAGTCAAGCTTTCAGTGACAAAGGCAGATGCGTAGGTGTGACACCTACATGGCTCCTATTTTGCTCCCCAATGTGGTCTTATAGATGGGAAACAGCTGGAAACAGGTAGTAGAAGTTTCCATTCCTGCCCCTGCCTTTACATTCCTAAGAGTTGAGGATTGGTTCCCACATATCTCCMGTCTCTCCTAATTTCAATAACCTGACCAGGATGTTTAGAATTATTCAAATTGCCAATTCTCTAAGACTCTAGAAACCATCAAGCACCACAAAATCTATGAGAACTACAGAGAATAACCCTCAGACACTGCCATTTTAGTGTCTCAGCAGAGGAACAATAATGTAAAATATTAAYAAGGTTTACATTTGAATGGGTCCCTTCAGGACTTGCAAGGAAAGGAACTGGCTGGAATTTGGACACATCCTTGGAATAATATCAAAGTGTCAGAGGACATGTGAGAAGGCATTGGGCAGGAGAAAATGGTTATAGTTACGCTTCCTCAGCAAGGYTTCCAGTGGGCTGTTTTTAGTATGTAGCATAAGTCATGGAACACCCTGATTTAGCATATGTACTCAAGGTCAAAATATYTGTTTATAAATATGTGCCCTCTTATGTAACCTGCTGGCAGTGTTCCCTCTTATATAACCTGCTAGTAGTGTGCCTTCTTTGTCTGTCCTTAGTATGAASAAGTCTTATGGAAAAGGCTCAGTTTGGGGAAAGGGAGCAAGGGGCTACTGATACCTCCAAATTAAGCATGCCTGTTATCCCAACAGTGCCTCACATCTTTTCTCAACTTCTGAACACATAAAGTTTGCTTCCTGGGCATGAACTCCATAGAACAACTGGTGTAGTTGGCAGGATCTTCTATAGGTGAGAGATGCATTGACAGTGGATGAGGTTTYCTTGTGGCCACAAGCAGCATAGAGGACACAGTTGCCTAGGTCCTATTAGCCTGGACTTCTTGAACAGTTTGGTAAAGGATGGGTTTTCTATGAGAATATAGAAGGCTTCAGATTGCTCTGGGGCAAACATAGACCCATGGTGTGGGGTGAACTGAGCAGTGGAGCCCAGGTGCTAGCATATTGCCAAGGATTAAGATGGCAGCAGTGGTCCAGAT